GAGGGAATGAGAGAGAAGGAGGAGGAAGTAGATAGAGGCACTTCTCTTTTAATTAGACCTAGAATTGGATTCACACATTTCCAGCAAAAAGAAGAGCTACTTTACAACAAGCCTTGATGATACTTAAAGGCACTCGTTCACACGCTGCCTGTAGTCTTCTCACTGTGCTTGTTTAACATTTATACAAAATTCTTCCACCTTTATGTTGAAAGGATAAAAGACACAAGATAAGTGATCTGAATATATGAGGAAGATAATTACCCTTATCATCTAGACAAATGGATATAAATGTGGCCTGTGCTGTCTTTAACTATTCCCTTTCATTGTACCTGTACAACACATCATCTATACTCTTAACATCTGTTACCACTGAGTAAAACTCAAGAGCTTGCACATTATTTATTGATTAGCTTTGCAATTATTTCTCTTCCCCCCCCCGTCCGACTCGGAGCCTAAAAATCTATCATCTATCAGAGCTGATTTTTTTTTACTGGGCAATGATCCAGCACACTCCTAAATTAGACCAAATGAAAGCATAAAGCAGATAACTGGCACAATTGTTTGTAGCGGCAAAGAGCACTTCCCGGTTTTATAATTTACTGCCCAACTGACTTCACAGCAACATATTAAAAATCATTAAAATTCATCATGTGGCATTTTGAAATGATAATATTAAAGCAAAAAATGGCTATGGTGCCTGTTAAAACAAGGACAGCAACAAAGGGGTACACACTTATATACATTTCAGTGTGTACATGTTAAAGTTTATTGCCTCTTGATATAAAGCATAAACAGCCCTTCAGTATGATAAACAAAGCCGAGGCAACAGGGAAATAAATGAAGCACAAAATGTCTACATGAATAAACCAACGTGCTTGAAATAAGGGAAAAGCAAGACACCGCCTTTCTTCAGTCGTCCTCATTCTCTTCACTTGCCCTCTTAAGCAGACACACACACTTTCTCCCTCTCTCATGCATTATCCCAGCCAGTCACCTTTAGTCTTTCTCTTTTCCTCCTACTCTCTGGCTTTCCTGCTGCGGAGCCAGAAAAATGAAAGCATAGGCAAACTGGCACACAGACAAACACACACTCTCATTGTCTCTCTCTTTCTCTCTTTCTCTCTCTCTCTCTCTCTCTCTCTCTCTCTCTCTCTCTCACACACACACACACACACACACACTAACCCCTTTCAGACCGCTGCACTGACCCAGGATAGACCTACATCTGCTGCCAGTGTGAATGAGTCAACGCAACAGTTCCATGACCCTGTTTCTAACCTGAGTGTTAACATAGGTTTGACACTACTTGACTTTGGTGTACACGGGTGAACACAGGTGTTAACAAATGAAATGGGATTGTAGTACAGGTGCTTTAGAGCTCATATGGTTCCACTGCATCCCTATAGTAGGTATAAGCTGCAATGCCTACACCTCTGAAGTCTAAGCTACACACTTGTAAATTCTTCTTCAGTGTCTGTCATTTTCAGCCTTCAGTGCAAGTATCTAAACTCAGTAATCTTGCAGGTTCTAGGAATTTAACCTGTGGCCTGTTTGTAGGAGGTTATTTGGTTCTGTTTGTTTGTCTGTTTGTCAGCAGGACTGCTGCATATCACAGGCCTTAGTGGCCAATAGTCACTGCACTTTCAAGAGTGCTCTCCTAGTTTCAGTTTGTTTTTAAGTGTGCTGTTTATGTTTATGCGTGTTGTAATTTTCTCCAATTTACCTCCATAGCATTATTGGGGGAAGCCAGCTACTGCCGGCGCAAGTAGACCAATATACTAGTAGACATGAAAAAACATTTGTATCAATGCAGTACCAAGTATGTCTCCCAAGTGGGAATAAAAAACAAGTTTAGAAATCTGGCCCTGCAGACCAAAAGTGGTGAACTGCTGCAGTAGGTAGGGGCCAGAAAACACTATGATCATATCCTGGGAGATTTGTTTCGGCCTCATCTCAAAAGGAATGTTTTTCTTTGTTTCTTTGTTGTTTGTTTTTGCAACACATCGACGTTTGGTTATGGACTATCCACGTCCAGATGTAAGTTGATGTTTTTTTTGCCTTCAATAACTAAGGTTAGGTTTAGGCAGCAAAAACACGTGGTAAGGTCTAGGAAAAAAGAACAAGATTTGGCTTTATAATCTTACAGGACACAAACACCGCTCTCCTGGGTGAAAGTCAATGTTTGTTGGATCCATCTACCTCCACTCCTACCCACCCTACTTGGACTTTCCTCACCTTAACTTTTATTCGTGTCCCACCGCATTTCCCCCTGTTGCCTCAGAGTGCCATTAAACGGTGACCAGCCACATATAGTGCCAACGTTAAAGAGCGGCTTTTTCGTCAGTGTCTGACGCTGCAAGTCACTGCTCCACTAGAGTGATTGGGGTTAAAGGCCTTGTTCAAGGGAACCTCAGTGGTAACAGTGAAGGAGGGAATGTGCTGCTTTTCACTTTCTGCACCCAGATTTATCCTGCAGATGTGGGGACTGAACCAACAACCTCCCAGTAATACGTTTATGCTACTATACTTCTTAAATCTAGTTGTACTGCAGCATTTTTAAATCTGAGATTTGAAAAGTAGCTCAGTCTGATGATCAGGGGTCAAGTGACTGACTTTAGAGGTATACTATGCAGGATCATCGATTTCTGTTTGCAACACACTCGCCAATGAAAATTGGCGTGTCCTTTGGCGTGTCCCCTCACTGTATTTGGCTTTTCCGGTGCTGTGTCTCTTGGATGCATGCTGCTTACAGTCTGGCACCTTGTAGCTACCTTTTTATAAAGCCCAGACCTCACCTGCACCCTGGGGGTACACGCCTATAAACGTCCCAAACACAGAAAATATGAGATAGGCTATACATGTTCTGGTTTCTCAAACAAAATCAGGAAACCACACAGGGGCCACTTTTTTGAGCATCTCGAGGCAAGGCATTACTGAAGTGTTTCAGGCTTTGCCTGGAACAATGGGAGATCTCTCTTAAGCTCATTTTTATTTCTCCCTTCTCCCTTTGAGTTACTCCCCACCAATCATACACACACCAATCCGTAACTTTCGGAGCACTATCAGGGGGAGAGCCCCTGTGATGCCTATCAGCCTGATAAATAGGTGGCTGCTGAAACTACTTCAATGAGAGAGAGAAAGACTGCCAGACAGCAGAGAGACACATATATCTCTCTTTATTTCTCTTTCTCTAACTATAATCAACGTGGACTTTTTGAAACTGTGCACGGTGTACAGGCACTAATGATTGCAGCATGTGTTTTTTGGAAGACATACTGTACAAGGATTGCTTCCACTGAACACATTGTCAGAGTATGCTATCAAACTTTTATGTCATTGCTTAATGTTTTATGGCATTGTTAAGGTTATAAGACACAGATGACTATTTCTTTTCACATTCATACATACTACATGAAGTACAGCATCCTGGATATAAACACCTATCCCACTGTTGGATTTACCTGCTCCCACACTCTGCTATCTGTGATTATACAGATGTACCAATTTGACAGGTTTACACAGCAGCTCTATTGCACCACTTTGCCACATGAAGTGTGTATCCCCAGATGTTACTCCCTTTGTCAGTAAATGAATGATCAGAAAAAAAACCTAATAGCCCGATAAAATGCAAGAATATTTATGCAAGAGTGAAGCAGGGTTGGTGGACTTTTAAATATTGCCAAAATGCACTTTCAGTGTTCCTTTCAGTGTTGTAGTAGAAGAGTTTTTTAAGTTCCAAGATTATCTGGCCTGTACAGCTGCTCCTGCTGAATGATTCACAAACCATTGTTCTGCTCTGGTGTATTGTGTTCAGAAGATCCATCAGTGTGAGCATCAGTCAGCCACTGGAACCCCATTGACAACACAATCAATCCACTTACACGCTGCACAACTATGACCAATGCTGGGCTGCTTGCAGAATACCATGTGTACTACTGTATGTGTTTGAGCATGTTTCTGTGTGTGCTTTGATTTGATTGTGCTTATAATAACTGAAACACAGATTGAAATGATTAACCTACACTATTTTTTTTACAAACAGGGGAGACGACCTGATGATATATACCTGGTTGAGTCATCTTAAAAAACATCCTGGCTGTTGTGTTTGAAGATGCTGATGACTGAATTCTAGCTCAGCAGTTTTACATCAGAAGTTGTGATAAAGTAATGCTTGTGTGTGTAAACTAATTATATATTCATAAGCAAAATGCCAATGGCAGCCAGCAATCCCAACAGTCACTGATCTGGCAAATATTCCCCTCCTTTACAACAGACATTGTACGCTATGTGTTCAAAGACAGTTGTGGCGAGAGCAACCAAGTAGTAAATAACTTGGTGTTGCTGCAAAACTAAGATACAGCAAAAGCTGCTAGCTGTTTGTTTACATCATAGAGGATGTTACACTGTTATCTTGTGAATGAGTGCAAGGTCATGTGTGGGTGTCTGCATGCACGGCTCTGGTGCTTCATAGCGCAATGAGTGTAGCAAGAAAGCAACATGCCCCCTGCTACTGTCATGAAATATACCATACTACACACACACACAGCATTAATAAGAGGTTGGTTTCATGTGAGTGACAGTACTCTAAAGGGACTGAGAATTAAACACTGCCAAAGGGGTATAGATTCTCAAGGTGGAGGCCATTTGGTCCCCTACGTCATCTGAATACATTTACATCCACTTAACATTACATGTCATGCATAAAAGATGGGTTAATAATTGCTTCAATAAAAGTTTCATGATGAGCAAGCTTCATTTGACAAATCCATTTGTTCCTCCCTCACATATATTTCATTTCTGGGCTTCTTCATACAGCGGAGACATGAAAGCTTAAATGAATGGTGATGTTACTGTTATTAGGGGTGTAATGGTGTGTGCATGTGTAAGTGTCTGTTTGTGTGAGTCTTCTTCAATGTTTTGTGTATATACTGCTCATGTGTTTGCTTTACACTAATGCATGTGCAAATATGTGTATGCACACATGTGAAAGTGACACTCACCAGCTCCTTCTTTTTCATGCACTCCATGAGAATGATGAACAGATGTTGGGCCTGTGTGCGGCTGTAGGTGAAAGTCTTCTGGATGGTCACCAGCAACTGGTCTCTCAGAGACTCGTTAATTATGCTGCAGAGGTGTGGAAGGAAAAAAAGAGGGTGTCAGGAAGGGGTCAGATGGAGGTAAGGAGAATAAAACAGTTAGGGGGAAGCAAGGAAATTAAATTTGTGCGTCAGTAAGTGAAATGAAGGTTGGCTGTGGGGCTGTCAGCACTACTGTCTCGGAGACCCCGGTGTGATGTGATTCTGCAAGATTACCTTCATCTGTAACTCGATATATGAAGCTGTACAAACTGAATTCATGAGGACTATAACTAAAAATGTAAACTGTGTGTGCATCAGCACATTGCAGAAAATTGATAAATGTTTGCAAGTTCTTGCATCAAGTTTACAGTATCATTCTCCATAAAATGCCTAACTACAGAATTGCATCATTGCTGTATGTACTGTATATATGAAATTGTGTGCGTGTTATGTTTTGATAAATAATAACTCAAATAAAACCAATATATCCAAAATTCTGATTATAAACAATCTTAGGAAGACTCTTTTCCATGGTGTAACATATTTTCCACACTGGATACAATTTGTATTATTAAGTGTTTTATCCTTGGATGACAGCATATTGTGCACATGTGAGTGCATACCCTCCCTCCTCGGAGTATTTATGTCCAAAGGCCAAGATGTCTGAAGCCCTGCCACTGCCGTCACACACCACCACAGGGACGGGAGGTGTGTCCCTGAGGTACTCCAGCACAATGGAGATCACATTAGGACCTCCCTCTACGATCAGAGCCACCACCGGCACACCCTGACCAATACCTGCACATGGAAACAGGTGGAAGGAAGGATTGTAGGAAGGAAATCAGGGATGAGAAATGCAGGAAAAGGGATATAAATGTGAAGAAGGAAGAGGGAGGTTAAGGACAGAGAGAAAAAAACAGAAGGAGGATAGTCAATAAATAGGCTTCATTACATCAGCAATACTTGATCTGTAAATAGAAATGTGTGAACAAGGTGCAAACATCGCACCTGTCATGTCTCTTGACTGTACTGTCAAGACAATGTGAGCTTTCTAATTATGGGAGAGAGGTTTTTAAAAAAGCACCAGTCCCAAAAATAACCAGCCCACTTTGTGCTTGGTGCTCTGTTCCTGTGGCATGGGTGTGTGTGTGTGTGTGTGTGTGTGTGTGTGTGTGAGAGAGAGAGAGAGAGAGAGAGAAATTCACTGATAAACCCCCCACCGTTCAACACAAAAATGGCTCCTTGCCTGCTAATCACAGGCTATTTAGGGTAATTACACAAAATTAGCAGCCTGGTTTCTCTGCACACGGTGAGTCTATGTACAGGAGAAGGTACTGTAGGTATCGCAAAACTCTCAAAAGAATTTCATGCCTCATTTTTGCTTGTGTTGCTCTCTTTCCTGCCTCTTGTTTCCATCCCAAACTTCTCATTACACCACTGAACATCTCCTTCAAGACGCCATAAACCCTGTAAACCCCAGAGTGCCAGTCTCTCTAACCCCTCTAAGTTCTTTCCCCTTTTAGTGTTCACAGTCCAATCTATTTCCTAAACCCTCTTTCCTGCTCTCTGCCTCACTTCCTGTCTCCGCAGTCTTTCCTTCTATAGATACTCTGTTCTCCTCCTCTACCCCCCATTCTGTTTCATGAGGTTGTGTTTTCTGCCGGGTGTTTTGACTCTTCTAATTCAAAAGCTGTGTAACTGCCGGATCTTCCCCGCCCTGCACCCTCATCCTGGTCTGCATAATTCACATTGGAGAAAGCATGGTCTGTCTCTCAAGCACGCAGGCAGACGAGGGCATACAGATGCTTGCTTACATACTGTATGCACATACGCACACACACACGCACACATTCGGAAGCATACCCGCCACCATTACGCTTTGCCTCACACAGCCTCGTGCGGCCTTGCAACATGGACAGTTACATAAGGAGAATATTTTAGGGGCCTTGCCTACTTCAAAGCGGTAAAACGTCACTGTGCCACAACACATCACACGACCATACATCAACAGAGCTCAATGTGAAAGAGAAGCAGACCAATAACCTTTTGTATCTGATTCTTCCGTTTCTTTTGGATGTCTATTTTTTGCTGTTACTTGCATGTATGTGAGTTTGTGTCAGATCAGGCATTGATATTGATGACTAGTGAGCTTTGGAGGCAGCGCTGCAGTATCTAAAGCAGATTATTGTTCAACTGAAACCCACCAAGGAGCAGATGAGGAGGGGAAAGCACAGCTGTGTCATGGCTAATTGGTAGCGCACAAACACACACTCGCACTCACACAAATACAGATAGAGGTACTAACCACAAATGAAACAAAATTCTCTTTTGCCTGACTACCCCAAAACAGCGGGCACATTTTAGAATGACTTTTGACCTTCCATTCACAGTTGGCTTTTCTAATTAACAGCTGAGAGCTTTAACTACTGTATTTACTCCTGTGGGAACTTCGATGTATCAAAACATGTATGAGGAAACCAAACATGGCAGCCGATCCGCTCTAACTAAAGTTGCAGGCATGCCAAAAAGTTTCTCCTGTTTCCTCCTGTGAGTGCATTCAACAAAAACGGCACCAAAATAATGTTATGATACAATTCCTACTGCCTTTAATTTTACTGGACCTGATGATTATAACTATAAACACTCACACACTTTATATATTTGTAGGATAATGTTATGATGGAAAGTTTTTCTGGATCCATGGCATGACATGACCTGAATTTCAATTGGGGTCGGTGCTAAAAAACTGCCACCCAGCCCAGTGCCATTCCTGGGGGCTTGACTGGGAAATGAAGCCCTAAACATAGCAGCGTTAACGCTCTGCTAACTGCTGCTGCTACTGAACTTGCAATTTTATATTTTTTAAACTTAATCCTGTGATTGTTAGAAAGCTGAGAGCTCTTTGAATCACTTTATCTGTGGGGGCAGATCTTGCGGTCTGAATTCCCCCTTTATATCAACTAAAGCACTAAGTAGCTGGGGTGGTTACATGAGTCTGCACTTTCGGAAGAATAACTATTCTTCTAGATGGAGATGTAAACCCATAGCTTGAGAGCTTATCTGTTGGGTATTTAGTGAAGATGCAGTCCTTGCTGGAATTCACCAAGTGTTCCCTCTGCCAACGTGCAACACGGTTGTGCAGTGGACTGTCCATATGCTACACGTCTGTGTTTTCTTCTCACTTCTCAAAATACTTTTATATTCCATCACAGTTTCTTTATAATCAAGACTTAAAACCTTCAAACAGATACAGAAGTTGGGGTGCGGTTGGGAGGTAGATGTTGTGGTTCGCTGTTGTCTCCCTCTCTGTTGTTCACTGTGTTGCGCACCTGTATTGGGTAAATCTGTATTCCTAATACAAAATGTTAAAACAAAAAAAGAAATACTACTGCAACCTATTTTTGTGTTGGTGAAACACAGCGCAAGCCGCAATCTAACTGTTTCCTGACCTTGAAATTCTCCTTGCCAGTCTGTGTGTTATTTTGGTGCTCAGTGCCGAGCGCACAGGTGGGAGGAGAGGTGCAAACAGGTGGGAGGTTCCTTCAAATGAGGCAGTGCAAAACGAGTTGTTGGTACTTGGGTGGAAAATAGATCAGTGCTAAAAGCAATCGTCTAATAGCGACGTCTGTTTCTGTCCATCTGGATGATGTAGTGTATACACACTCTACACAATATACCCTATACACTCTGTACTGCTTTTCTCAACACGTTCAGCCTTTCCACCCCCTTTTCTTGTAATGACTGTATCCATGCACCATTCACACACTCCAACGCATCAGATAACACAATCGACAAACCCCAACCCTTTCCCTTGTCTCCCTGTATCTCATACATAGTTTTAACCGAGTGCCCACACCTTATCTCTCAGGAGGGAAGCTACCGTGAAACTGTGTGAAAAAGCAGAGGCAGAAAAATGGAGGAAGGTGGTCGATGAGACTCCGAGGCCACAACTTTCTATATTTATCCGGCCTGGGAGATGAGGAAGTAACGAGGAGGAGAAGGAATTAGGGAGGGAAAGAGAAGCGTGTAAGCGAGACACACGTAACATGCTTAAATGGTCCTAATTAAGGATCCAGCAATGACTCATCCTTCGCGTGTGCGTGTGTCTCTGCGTGCGTGGGTGGGCGCGAGTGTCTGTGAGTTTGTCCTTGTATGTGTCAAATTAGTATCAGCATGACTGGAGGAGGTGTGCTACTGTATGTGGGTCGTTGTCTTCGCACCCCCCCCTCAAAAAAATAAACACACACACACACACACACACACACACACACACGCATCATTATCTTAGCAACAACTAAGGCAGACAGGAAGCATCAGATCTGTGAAGGCAACATGACTCGACAGGCTATAGAACAAAAGGTCAGGGGGTCTGGTACACTAAAAGGGCAAAGCTTCTCTCAAACTTTACTTTTTCAGTCGTGTTTTGACATCGTCATATCCTGTTGTTTCTCTTACATACTCAGAGGAATTCAGATTAAATCAGATGGTCCGTACCATCTTTTTACCACTAATAAGTTGTAGTGTTGCCAAGGCCGTGATCCAGAGAGAATCAATCATGAATAGGGTCATTGATCAGAACAATATATTCACAACTGGGAAATTGGGGTTAAAGGAAATTAACTCCATTGATATGTGAGTTAGTGTGTGTCTGAATCCCTGTGAATGCTCTTCCTTAAGAGCTCTCTCCATGGCATAAAAATCATATATCGAATCCTGTTGTTGCTGCCACGCTGGTGCTGAAGATTACATAATATACTGTATATATGTATGTATGTTCAAATATTGTTAACCTGCATCAACTGAAGGCAAAGTATTATCTCACATAGTCAAAAAAGACTTAAAATGATATTCAGAAAACTAGAATATTAGACCTATTTAACCCACTCATGTCACGTTTCTTGGATGAAAGATAGCTAAGTGTAAATACATCAAAGAAACATTTCAGACGGACTGACTGAAATTCAATTATCTAAAAAACACCTCCAGAGGTGGCTTGATATGTATTCCAGCAAGACACTAAAAAGGTGTAAATGCATCAGACACGTGTAAGCTTTACTCCCCCCAAGGGTATTTACCTCAGTAAGTGGTCTATAGAAATTCCCACTCACAAGGTCTGCCTCCTATGAGTCTAACTGAAAGCAAAAGAAAAACAGAATTACCACCTCCCTGTGGTATGCCTCCTTGAACCAGTGAAGTTGCAGTTACAGTTTGCATTTATGTCTGTGAAAACATAAATGCTTCACACACAGCAGCACAGACGATCTATATCTGGCATGTCGAAAATCTAGCCGGAGGGCCAATTAGGGCCTACAGACCAATTTTAAACAACCCACAGCTTGTCTTTCAAAATATACTATATGTGGTCCACCACACAATATTGGTTGATCAAGCAAATTCACTTTGCATTTGTTTCCGTTCACCTCAACATGGTAGGACTGTCATACAGTTTGTAGACATGCACCATTTCCTGACCACAGACAAGAAGCGGAGAGACAAAAGCGAGGGCTTTTGAAAATACTTTTCATTGACAGATGAAAGTATTGCATTTGTCTCATCTGTATGTGATTTTTTTAAATAACTGATGTAATGTAAGTGTATGACGTAAGAAAATGTAATATTTTCACATTATCTATTCTGGCCCCCATCAAACAAGTTCAGTCACCCCTGATTTATACAGTCAGTACAGTTTCAAAGTGGGCACCAAAAATTAGCACCCACAAATCAGTATCTAACCAAATGTCTCCCCTTCTGCTCCTCAGTTATGTCTTTGACAAATGGCCAGAAAGTGTTTTTTGCAG